AACCGCTTCACTTAATGGATTTTCAGACAAGTAAACAAAAAAATTGAACATCATGACCAAAAACATTTAAACTTTATGACCTAAAGCGGTTTCAGGTTTTAATCTGCAGTTGTGCTGGCTGGCATTACCGTAAGGATTCATTTCTCAGAAAGACAGAATGTTACACTTTTTTATCTTGAACCATTGTCTGCCTTTTTTGTCCCAAGTGTCAGCTCACAGACACTTTAACATCCTAAAGGAATATTTTTAAATGAGTTTTCAAAGTGTTTTCTACGAGCACATTTGTTCACATAACATCCTATAGCTGGAATCTTGTAATCATTCAAAAGAAGTTAAAAGCCCTGAAAGCATCTTCTAGCAAAGCAATTACTTTAACGTCCTAGGACCCAAACTTGTATTTGGTGTAATTTAAAAGAAAACATATCTAGCTATTACAGATTAGTCCACTCTAATTAATGGAAACAAAATTACAAAAATTTATATAACGTAAAAATACAGTTAAATAAAAATGTTGTCTAATGAAAAGAAGGAACGTCAGATGTTGAGTTGACTACCGGTCCAGTCAAGAATAGAAGGAGTATTGCAGATATTAGTTTGTGATCCTATGAAGATCTGTGTAGAGCTGAGTGGGTAAAAACAAAAACATATATTAGCCACCACTTTTGAAGAAACCAAGTAAAACTTGATATTAGTTTTTTTTTTTTTTTTCAAATTTTGGTCCATAACTTTAACTGTTGAATCCATATTGTTTGAAAAAGAAAGCCAGGTGAAGTACGAGACCAACATTGTTTTTGAAAGAGACTTGTAATGCGGAGAAGACAAAAATATTTCAATTAAAATAGAAATATGAAGGGAACGTAAATTGTAATTGCAAAAATTATAAAATATATATACATGACTATTTTACCTTGATTCCCAGTCACTGATAAATCAAAGTTCAGCATCCTTGTCGGTAGGACAGACCTCAGTGGTGCTTCGTACTTTGGACCGTTGTCAGCTCTTGGCCTGGAAACTCCTCTGAAAAATAGGACATTGTAAAATACGACAAATCAAACACTGTAGAGTTTCTGTAGCTCATATTAGAGAAATGCCCTTTAGACAGAAATGGTTGACTTTTATTAACTCATTCCAAATAGATGCTTACATTTTTCTACAATTGAATGATGTCTTTATTTTCAAACAAAAACATGGCTCTAAATGTTGTTTCTATAATATAACGTAGTAAAACTCATGTCTTCATTGTCGAAGAGATTGCCTTCTACTGTATTACCAACTTTAGGCCAAATTGCTCTTTGAATAACTTTTTAACAACATTCAATAGCATTTTGATAAATATAGACATTTCAACCATAAAGCTTTTTGTAACCCACTGTTTTGGAAATCGACCACTGCAGCTTTAGGTCACCCAGCATATTAAATATTAGACATCTTTAAGCTCGCCACATTTGGTTGGAGAATTTACTCAGGAACTGAAACAAGGATACAACAAAATGCAACATAACTATTGAAAGAACATTCTTACTTTAATTTTATAAAATGGTTGTCAGTCGTCTTTTTCAATCACCTATGAGGATTTCTGGCTCCTCTCCATTCAGTGCAGAAAGAAAATGGTTCCTCGGGCTGGGCACCCCATGGCAGGTACACAGGGTCACCTACCCAGTTCAGCAGGGTCTACTCTTTTAACTTACTTAAAATGAGTTTATGGACATCAGCCAAAATAAAATAAGTATATCTAACAAAATTTTGATGTCTAAGTAACACTTGGAACACTGAAAGAAATGTCATGAACTCAAATTTGCAGAGCTGGCAAATAAGTTTGTCACTTTTGAGTAAAGTGAACTTCATAGAAGTCAGTTACTGCAACTTTTTCAGGGAAATAACTTATTTGAACTCACTTTGTTTATTAAGATATTGCTGTTAGGTTTTACAGTGCACTGTCAGCAGCGAGAGGAGGTGAAAATGTTAGATAATACTCAAGATGCGCTGATTGAGATCTTTTCTTTTGCAGTTATCTCTGCAAAGTTCTCTGTGTGTAACATGTAAAATATGTGTCATTAACAAACTAACTCATGGCCAAATAAATAAATAAACAAACAAATCACCTCTTGTAAAAACAACGATAGCGGCTCAGCTTGTCGCCAACTATCAAACAATTCATCCCATAGCCCAACCCTAATAACTTCAATCAGGCAATGTTCCAATAAAAATATGTATTAGATATTCAATCAATAATGGTCCCAACTTTCATGTCAGCCAATTCAAAAATCCCTTAGGTATAATTTTGTGAACACTTTCTTGCTTCAGCATAAACGTGTTTTAAATATTTTCTGAACATTTCTTTTTCATATCTTTCACCATTATTCCATGGGAAAAAATGAATGATTGAGCCTCAATGAAAGTAGTAATTTTAGTCCTTTTTCATTTTACCTGAACAATTGGTCACTTTTGCCCCAACCAAACCCAGAGATTTTGGATTTCTTGACACATCTTCATTTTCCAGGATGATGACATCTCATACAAGCTGGAGAGCCCAACACATTTTGGGTGAAGGGGTTTCTGCATTCATAATCTGAACTACCTTTTGGCTTACCTAGTGTGCTCTAGTGAGAATATTCATAAAATCCTAAAGAATTAAATGACAGCAAAAATCAAGCAGGTTCCGCAGATAAATATTTTCACAGAGTTGCAGAGTAGAAAAACATAAAAACTCTTTTACAGTAATTATGGACAGCTTCAAGATTATCAGAAGGGGCCAGGCGGGTAATGAAACAGCATGATAATCCCACCATGTGAACCAGGCTTTACTCGGTAAAAATCACAATATGTAAACACTCACCTCACCTCTGATTGGCTAATTGCAGTGCAACTCTTCCACTTCCTTTTCTTTCACTGGTAAAAAACAATAAAAAATAAAGAAATATGATGCAATGTGCATGTGTTTTCCCCAAAATATAATCCAAAAGTGTTCTGCCATGTTGTGGACTTTCTATTGTTGATGGTTAGCTTCTACTAGCAACAATCACTCCTGCTCTCTCCTGGCTGCTAAATCAACACAGATCTCTGTTTATGTTTATGTTTATTCATTTAGCAGACGCTTTTATCCAAAGCGACTTACAATTTATAACCTATAGGGCATGTTGTGATCTGTCTGCAGGCGCAAACCCACGTTTTCCCTGTGACAAGGAACTGAAATTTTCTGACTCAATCATTTGCTATTTAATTTTTGCAGCTAATGCTGGCAACAGGGTTTAAAGTCTTTTTTCACATTATCATATAAGTCAGAGTCACCAATCATATTTAAAAACAACTGGTATTATACAGTTTCTCAGTGAACAATACCTTTACGGTTGGTATTTTGTTTACCGGTTGGCTGAATTATTGAAAACTGAGACAGAGTTCTTACGTGCTCGCTGCAACATCTTGGCTATACTTCTGTTTGGTACAAAGTTCTTTTTAGGATCATTTCCTTTCTCGTCAGAGCTCACTCTCACAGAGTTAGCAGGTTTTCCTGGTCCGCAGTGGATTAATGTCGCCTTTTGGTTTTGGCTCCTCTCACTCGTAGAATAAGAAAGAAATCATTACCAGTGAAACACCCTCTCTCCAAATGCAGCACTTAGAATGAGGCATTGTTCAGTCTTAGAACAGGAAGTTCAGCGTCTTTTTTTGTAGATGTCTATCAGTGGTCCCGCTTCTGTAATTACACCTCGCAGCTTCCATGATGATGCCCTACAGTACACAAACACTACCTGTGTGTAATTTGTGTTGCCTCTATTGCAACTAATGTGTCACTGACATGACACAACAGTCATTACAACCAAAGCTCAGCCATGGTCTCAATTACACCTACTGGGATCTCTTGGAGTTGGCCATAATCACAGTTACAGCCTGTCTCCCACAGCAACGGCAGCAGGCAGTAAAAGAGAGTTCAAAGCCAATCAAAATCTCTCTCTCTCTGAATTTTCTTTACATCTCGCCAAAATATGTATCTCTGAGCAGAGACAAGTGTTGAGATTGGAAATCAGGTAAGGGAATATTTCTCTTCAGAAGTTATGCTACGGTCTAGAAGCTTAGCTGTTTTCCTGAAGATGTTCCTGTCCAACAGGCTAATAAACAGGCTCGTTAATGCTAAACTTGTTTTTGGAAATAGGCAACATTTCTTTGAAAGTGTGTTTTCAAGTTGTTTACAGTGACATAACGTGTTTCCAAAAAAACAGAAATCTTGCAGATTTAATATTGTAGAATAAGGGAATGTCTTTTCTCCCTTTCTTTCTTCTTGCAAGGTGAATAAAGCTGACGAACCCAAAGGAGTTTCTGTTTTCATGTGTGTGAGATGAAGAAGAGAGTGTGTGTGTGGTTTTTCCTTCCTCGTCTAGCTTGTTGTGTGGCAGCAGATGAAGTTTGTTTGGAAGACACTCACAGTTCTGCAACCTACATGTCTTCTCTCACCTCCGGGCCCTGCAGCCATCCAGCCAGCTCACCCTGTCCTCCCACTGTGTCATCTCAAGCCCCATGCTTGCCACTCATGGAATATTTAACTGAATGTCGGTGTTCACTAGTCATGTAGACTTGTGCTGTTTGGTCTCTTCTCTGTTTTCCTCCAACCTGAAAGGGACCCCGCCACCACCAAACAAATACTTGTTACACGAAATAAAGTATTAGTGTTGCTTGATTTATTTATTTTTTTTATCCTCAAATGTCAACAAAAGCCAGTGGGACTTATGAGTTGCCTATGTTTTATCCATAGCGGTCAGGAATTTAATTAAAATGGTTTGTAATCTAAAGGAAGTATTTAACCAATATAAAGTTTTAAAAAATGAACGCTGGTTTGGTTGTAATAGTCTCTGGGTTAATGAGTGTCACATCTTTGAAGTAAAAGCCTTACATGTACATGCATTGTATCCATAAACGGCAGCATAAAAATGACTTGAAGACTTGATTAACGAAGCTTAGTGATTAAAATGATCTCATTTTCTGCTTTCTCTTGTCTCTTTTTCTAACAGGGTGGAGGAAAGTTTCAAGACTCTATTCTGGTCCATCTTTGGGCTGTCTGAAGTGATCTCTGTGGTGCTGAAGTATGACCACAAGTTCATAGAGAACATCGGCTACGTCCTGTACGGAGTCTATAACGTCACCATGGTGGTTGTTCTACTCAACATGCTTATTGCTATGATCAACAGCTCATACCAGGAGATAGAGGTACGTGGAGAGTCGATAGAGAAAGGGCACAATGCTGTCAGCAAGTCAATAAGGATCATCTTTTTGCCTGCATGAGAATTCGAGCATGACTTTAAAAATGCCACGAGCTGTTAGGGATCAATAGAGTGACAACAGAAACTAAAATCAAAAATAAATAAATCACAATGAAAGTTGGTCACAAAAATCCTTCAGTTATTTATTTATTAATTAATTTATTTGGTCATTGTATTGACGGATATAGTCAGACAGACTGGCCTTCGGGTGTCTGTTTTCTGGTGTCCTTATTGACTGTTGCAACAACTAAAATCAATCATAGTGTCCTCTCAGACTAATTTCATTTTTTCTGCTTTTGGATTTATTGCCTGTGTTCATGTTCCCCTGCAGGAGGATGCAGATGTTGAGTGGAAGTTTGCCCGTGCCAAGTTGTGGCTCTCCTACTTTGACGAGGGTCGGACCCTACCAGCCCCATTCAACCTGGTTCCCAGCCCCAAGTCCTTCTACTACTTGGTGTTCCGCATCAAATCGTGTCTGATTCATGTCTGCAAGGAGAACGGTCACCATCGCAACAGTGAGGTGGAGTTGGGCAGGCTCAACTCACAGGCCAAGGTCAGTTACCCGTCTGTACATTCACATTTTCATCCACTTACTTGAGATTGTGCTTCTATGGGAGGAATCACATCCTGCCTATGTGTAGGACATGTCCAGAAAACCTCCAAAGGAAACTAGCAGGCGGTCTGATAAGGATGGTAGTACAGTTAACTCCTTCTAATGAGGAAGATCATTGCTTCTACTCTTGGGTGACAGCTATCCTTGTCTCTTCTCTAATGATGATACAATCAGGATCTTATTTTAGCTGCTTGGAGTAGGATCTTAACATTTAGTCTTTATCCAAATCTTTTGAACATAGATGAGTGTTGGACCAGCAAATTTAGCACTTAGCCTTTCAGAACACCACCGTTATCATCTCAAACCAAAGCAACTGCCTCAATACAATGGAGTTCTGATTCATTTATCTATCTCTGGTGGTTCCACTGAGAATGTTCATGAACTGTCATGTTGTGGAACGAAGGACTCAAATGAGCAAACTCGGACCAAAGACTCAAAAGAAAGGAAAGGAGTTTAATGCAGGGAGATGAACCAAAGGTGCTCCGCTGGGGAGGGGGGCTCAGTCCAATTGGGAGTTTAGAGGTCTTCCTGGTTGGGTTCGGTAGTAAGGGGTAATCATCCAGCAGTCAGAGAGCAGATCTCCAGTTGGCACATTACAGAGGTTTCTCTTTCCTGGAGGCAATAAAAAAGGCATTAGTGGTCTGGTGGTTGAGATCCATTTAACTTAACCGAAGAAGTGCTGCCTGTTTCACCTTTACGACAAACAAACTGGCATTGGGGTGGAGCCAGCAGATGTTTTAACTCCTCTCCTCAGATGAGCCAATGAGAAGCAGCTGTGGAGACTAGGAACAGAGGCCTTGCTAGTTGATCACCTGTGAGGAATAATGGTACAAATTGAAACCAGCAATAAAAAAGCAGCGCTGCTCAGATACAACATGAACACCACAATCCGAACTAGAGACAAGGCTGAGCCCAGACAGAAGCCAGTAAGCTTGACTTTGAAACAGCTCTTACTTTAGGGACTGGTGACCTTGGCCTCTACACTCCCATTTAACTCCCCATGTCGTATCCTTCTGAGGGCACAGTTGAGCCTTCTCTAGGTCCACTAAACACATGGGAACTTTACAAACAAACTTCAGTGATCCACTGCAACTCCATAAGGGAGAAGATTTTCTCCAGATGTTTCAGATAAAGCCACTTTTGCCTCATCGACTCGTCGTGCGGGGAGGAGTTTACAGCTTGTTTTTAAATCCATGCATGCATGTTTGTTGGGGCTGAGGGTGCTGAGTAGTTATCGTATAATGTGGCCCGTGTTCAGATGGCCGTCCACTTCAGATTCAGGAAACAGACAATAAACTCAAGTACAGGAAGGCAGCATGAGCTTTGCTCGATTTCACACACCACTTCTTCTCTTCTGAATCAAATCTTTTTAACGAAAGTAGAGTCTGTGTGAAGTAAACAGCAGAGGACGTTTTGTACAGAATCAATCTTTGCACCAGCCTTGTCCACAGGCATTTCCTCGACCTGATTCCTCAGCTGGAATGGCTCACCTCAGCTCAGCTATTAGTCAGGTCATTGCTTCTGCCTGCGTGTGCTGAAATGCCCGGGCAGTCCTCAGATAAGGACACGGTGGGTTACACTCTGCTGCCTCTGTGAGTGCCTACATTTTTCTGCAGCTCTAATAGTTTAACTGAAGCAGAGGCGAGTAACTGGGGAGCGATCAATGCATACGTTCCCGTTAGACCGCAGTGAAGAACTAAAAGTGTGAAGAGGAGTTTGAGACTGATGGTGTGGTCTTATTCATCATGCATGCGTGTTTTCTTACAGGTTTTGTTTTCTTTCTGAATGTTCACAGCAGTTTATGCTGAATTTGTTTTCAAACATCAAAGAATTTAAATCTTAGTTAAACTGAAGCGGTAGAGGCCAACAACAGGGACAAAAATGGATGAGTGAGGAAAAACCGCTACACAAAACACGTGTTGGTCACGTTCACTCGAGGCTGAGTACGGTAGTGAGGTCATTTCAAAATGTATTTCTGACACAATGAATGAAACTTTCTCTTAAAACGTGTTTTAAAATTTTACATAGTTTTGGATGCTTAAGCTTTACATCCCCTGAGAGCCACTGATGAAAAAGTATTTAAATTCTAGAAATGGTCAGAATATAAAGAAATACTAAATGAACCTTAAATGTGTTCTCCCATCTGGTCTGTCATCTGTTTCTTAAACACAGTACACTTCTCTTTTCATGTAAACATTATTTTCTAGCTGAATCAGCTTTATTGGACGTGTAACAAACACAAGCCCTTCAGCGCGGGATGGTAGTGGCTCTGGAGCAGAATGATTATTTACAGACATTACAGAAGATGAAGGCAGGTTAGTTGTGTCAAAACGAGTAAAGACGTTTCTGTGTCACTTAAACTTGGTCTGCAGACTCGTCGTGTCAGGTGTGCGGAGAACAGACACACCATGTCCAGGTGCAAAGGGTCATCTCATTTCCTGATTCTGGAGACACACATTTCCTCGAAAGAGGGGCCAAAGGGGCCCACAGTATTATAGAGAAGAGATTTATTTTGTTATTAAGACTCCCTGTTTTGAAATGTTATAAGCTATTTAGCAAAAATGATTCCTTGTTTCTAATATGCAAATTTAAAGGTAACATATTATTGGCTAAATATTAGAAACTAGTGCAGTTGTTGTATTTGTAAATATTAGTATACCTGCGTTTTCCTTTTAACTCCTTTTGTTCTCATTGCTTTAGCATCTTGGCAGCTCTCATCAGGTGTGGGTGTTAAAGATAATAAGATAAGAATATATGATTTATTACAGCCCAAGGACTCCTTAGCATTATTTATAATGCAGCAACGATCACATTTTGATATGTTTTGTAACTTTATAAATGAAAAGCTTGGACATCACAGATTATTTTTCTTATTTTTTTTTACAATTATACACTGTATACACAACATATTGTAGAAATAATCATTAATTTATGGTTTTACTCGCCTTTTCTCACTAAACTTTTATACCAGTCAGCTGTTGATATCCGTTCAGCATCAGTAATATGTATCACTACTAACATATCCCTGTTTGAGTTAACACTACATTGTCAAAATGACACATAATAGAGAGCAGGTCATGGACGTGGAAGGCATGTCGAGTTAATCGTTAATAGATTATACAGTCAGGACTCGCTCAGGTGAAGTCTGTCGGTTCTCTGAGGATTTATCTTTTCAAGGATCAAACGCAGAACTTTGTGTTTTGTTTTGTTTTTGTTATCGGCAGGCTGCCGCTTCCTACAACCTTTACAAATGTTTCACTCAGCTGTCTGATTCTGGCTGTTGCAGGATGAGCGCTTTAGGTCCTACCCTCAATCGGGAGAAGAGTTTGTCCACATAAAATCCAGACAACACCCAACCAGATATCAGGTAAGACCGAGGCAGAATCAGAAGCAGACATCAAAGGTTTGGTGTGGAGTGAAGATGAGACAGAGGGAAAATGGATATGAGATGAAGTCTTGAGGAAGAATAAAATGCAAAACAAAGAGGTTGAGGAATACATAACAACAGAAGTAGAGAGGCAGAGACTGCAGCATGGCGATGGCAAGGAAAGAAAAGAGATGAGGGACAGAGGTGAGGAAGTGTAAGGAGTGGAGACAAAAGAGGCGCAGGATTTAACTCGATGGAATCGAAGGACATTGACTCAAAGGAAGTCACACAAAGAGAGAGAATAAAAGCGTAAAGCTGAAATTTCCTCTAATGAGATCATTGAGGTCAGGACACTCTGTACATGATCTCACTGAGGACGAGGAGACACTCTTTTCCCCCCCTGAATATAATCTAGTTTAAAATCTGAAACTTTTCCCAAGTTGTTATAGACATTCAGCACACACCAGTGCTGCAGCGGCACGGCAGTGAGGTGTCACTTGATTAGACGTACGTAAGCGTGCTGTTTGTGCAGTATCGACCCAAATCAAGAGCGTTTCCATTCAGAGCTGACTGCTCAAGCATCGGCAGCAGCTACAGCAGTCCTGGCCACAGATCAATACTCTATACTTTCTACACTCTCTCAAAGACAGAGTGCAGTCGTCTACCAGAATCATTTTGTGTTTATCGAAATAACAGGATGGATTAGCTTTCTGAAATAACAAGCTCCCAGTGACCAAGCTGCATCCTTTCTTCTTTCGTTCTCCTAGAATATCATGAAACGGCTGATCAAGCGTTATGTTCTGAAGGCTCAAGTGGACAAAGAGAGTGATGAAGTCAACGAAGGTAAGAATTTAAGGGACAACTGATTAGGTACTTGTATACGACTTAGGACTGGGCTATGTCACACTATGTGGGGAATTAATCATAACATGCAAAACATCACAATATTTAAAAACCCATACTTAGCTGCTGAATTTAAGGTTTAATTCACCTACAGTTTAATTCTGCGGTGAATCTCAGACTTTGGCATTTTCATTGCTGTCCCAGCTTCTTTGGAGAATCTTGACCCTACTGGGGTTTCTCTTCAACACTCCGTAACTGGGGTTCAGCTGAGCTCATTAGACACAATTAAAAAGGCTTTATCTAAATTCTTACAGCAGATGGATTCTGTCAGAAATAAAAGTCACAACTGTAAGAAATTATTCATGAAGAGACTTTTTTTAGGAAGCATAAAGTGCAGAGAAGCATTAAGTTTGAGAGGTAACCATGCAGCTACTCAGAGGTCAGGATGAGTAAGAGTCAGTTTCCTGTGGGGGAAATGGAAGAGCCTTATGAACAACCATCATCAGTCGGACCTCTACAGCAGAGGGCTAGAGAGAAGCCTTTGTTGCAAAAACCTTCAAGGTACCTGGGAATTTATCAAAAGGCATCTGACTCCATCACAATCCTTTGAAGTCCCAGTTGGCTGAGTGGAGAAACCCAGAACCGTGGTATCTTTATTATTATTCCTACAGTCAAACCTTGTGATGGCAACAACCTAATGCAAACACTGTTTTGCTGCAGACTTTAGTAAAGAATGTAAAAAAGGGAAAGATGAATAAAAAATAAATAAAATAACTTTGTGCATGTTGAAGATGCCAGGCTGGGGCAAAGATCTTCAGCTCACCAAGACAATGTCCTGAGGCGTTTCTCCAGAATCTCTCCCCAGACATGGGAACAAGAATATTTGTGTTTTTGAACGGCGTAGCCGTCTGAAGCTGCATGAGTCCAGAACTGCATCTGTGACGAGAGCTGAAAAAGTGTGAGCACCGATGCTCCTCACCCAAGCTGGCTGAGGTTAAATGTTTGTGTCACTAACAATGAGAGAGCCTTCCAACACAACACTGCCTTGTCTGAAGAATATTTCCCAAGAAGACCTGAGACTCCTGCTGCTGCCAAACACTTTTTAACCATTTCACTGAGCCTGCAGCTGCTGGTTAACAGTCGGAAACTAAACTGAGGAAATGTGCTAATTTGTTTTTTATTAAGAAATATTTTTATGTTTTGGCATATAAAGGTAAAACATGACCATGGATAACACAAACATCAGTAAACTCGATGTTGTCATTTACAAACATGTAAAACCAGCTTGAGCTTGGTCAGTGACCGTGTATGTCCTCGTACATTAACATGTTGGTCACAAACGTACACAATTACACCCAATGTGCACTTTCAGTTGGAATCACTCTCGTTTGAACCTGCAACCCTGTAAATTAAGTTTACAGGCACACGTCTGTAACACATTTGAATGTGTTTGCAGTTTCCCAAGTTTTATTAAGGATGTGTCGGCCTTCCTATTTCCAGATTCTATTTTTTATATCTCCAATCAGACAAAACTGAGACCTTGTACATCGGGTTTTAGGGTTTCTGTTGAGCAGAATACGGATGTGGCTGCAGCTCCAGCTGGGTCACAGACCGCAGCAGCAGCAGCAGCTGTGCTGTCACTTCTAGCATTTGTGAGACAGGCAGAAATGTGTGTTTTGAGCATAATTGTCATCTAGTCTCATCAACAACAACTCCTGTACATCTGATTATGTTTTAGTCACCAAATACCTATTTTTAGCTTGTCGGCTCTTGTCTTTGTTATGAGAAAAAAGATCGTCAACCAGATCCATTTGTCATCATTACTGAAAACAACACCATTTCTAACAATTCACAAAAGAGCATTTTAGTGCCTTTTGCAAACAAAGCCTTCTCAGGCTATGGCAACAGCGCGATCGGAGCATCAGCACAGATCTGACCCTTCTGAGCTTCTGGCAGCTCTCCTTTTTAACTGCTCTGATGGTGATCAGGAGATCGGGTGCAGCTGTGCAGGTAGAAGGGAGGGCCTGACCAGGGTTTCTGAACTCCTGCTCACTCCGAACTTTGCAACTCACTTGAGGGGAAGGAAAATTCTCAAAACATTCAGGAAATGTTCAGCCCATAACTGGATACAAGTGTGTACCATTAATAGTCTCATCATAGAGAATTATGTACTGATTGATGAGGGGAAAACATAAAGTGAAATTATTTCAAAGGGAATCTGAAACAAAATGATCTAAACTCAAAGGGAGGTGCACATTTACGCTTTACACGCTGTCCTGAATTCATGTCTGGATGCGTCCGTGCCTGCACGTCCTGATCGCTGCTCGTTCACTCTGCTCCTTTCTCCTCTGCTCCTGTGTTGTAGGCGAGCTGAAGGAGATCAAGCAAGACATCTCCAGCCTCCGCTATGAGCTCCTGGAGGAGAAGTCCCAGGCCGCCGAAGAGCTGGCTCTGCTCATTCAGCAACTCGGCGACAAGTTTGGCAAGAACACCATGAGACACTGACAGAACCTGCATCAAGATGGGGGGAGGGAAGTTAGTGGTGAGGGCAGAAAGCTGCGCCAGGCCAAGTAGTCTTTCCGACCTCAATAAGGAGTGATGAAATTATGTTGTGGCGGTGGGATGTTTACGAGTAGAAAAAGAAGAAAAGGTTAAATTTACTAAATCAAACCCAAGAGCTCTGTGTGCAGTGACCAATTAGAGACAAGTGTGAAAACACAAGTGAGCAGGAGGTTAAACCATCAGAGGTGGAGCAGACGTAACTGGAGGGACTTTGTGTTGACAGCTCAATTTTAATTAAAGGCAAATCCTTTGGGGGAGAGAAGGAGACGGAGAGGCAGAAAGTGATGACTGAGGAGGAGGAGAAGTATGAGGAGATATGAAGATGCACCACAGGGCACAGGAGCAATGCAGCGCAGCAATGAGGAGCCCCCTCATCCACTGCCAGGCTATGTCAGCGTACCATCGAGTCGTCGGAGAGAGGAAAACCCAACCAGGCAAAGAGACACACGGAGAAGGACGGGCGAGAGCGATAGCTCACAAAGTGCTGCTGGTGCTCACACCGGAGAGGCTCGCTTCTGTGTTTCCACTTAGTCGGAAAAATATCAGCGATGCCTGTCGAGATGATGCATACACCTTTATACACCAGGCTGTCTAATTAATGCGGTTCCACACTTAATACACAAGCGATGGAGCGAGTCAGGAAATTCAAGATGGGTAGTAATGCCTGATTCATGTGCTTGAGTGAAAGTCTTAAAGTAAGAAAAACTGCTGAGAAGGGAAACAATCGTCTAAGGAAGGGTGACACTCCAGGTCCAAACCGAGTGTTTGCAGCTCTAATTAAGCATAAAAATGACTTTATTTTAAATAAAATCACTCCAGCTTCTCATTTTCTTTATGCTCCATTAAACTTTACTGGTAAGAGTAACTTTTTATAGAAAAACCCTCCAGAATGCAACATAATTTCCCTCCTTCGTCTTTGTGTGATATTTAAATGTCATGCACATGTGAACACCAGTGATCCAACATGGCCTGCAGAGCTTCTGTATACGTTCTCCTCATGGCTCCTAGTTGGTTAAACTAATCTATAAAAATATAACGTGCTCAATAGATTTCATTTACAGCTTTAATATGCGGAAGGTCAGCGGTCAGGTCGAGCAACAGCATTTGTTAGATGAGAATTTATTTATGTACGCATTGATTTGGCTGTAAAATATAGCTGTGTAGAGTCAATTTAATGGTTGTTTTCCATCTGGATACACAGTATTAGGCAGGGTTCTGCTCAAAATGTGGAGATTTCAGCAGCAGGTTGACTGACAGGAGCAACAGTGCAACGGCAACAGCAGAATGATAGCTTTAACCTGAGAAATATGCAGTTTAATCAGTGAAATCTCATCTTTTTTGGTGGTGCAATCTGCCCTAGTGCACAGGTACAACCTAAAGATGATGATGGCCTGTTGGATCAGTCTTATAATTATTTATTTATTTGTTTATTATGTGAATGCATTCTGGTTTTTAAGTTTGAAAACAAAAATAATAAAAATGTAACTAAAATCCGTACTTCTAAGCCTGTACTGACCGCGTTTACTCAAAACCAGCAACAAGGTGAACGACTGGTAAAGAAACAAACAGTGGACACGTTTGTACCTGACATGGTCTGATTGTTATTAAAAATCCGTTTTCAGACCTTCGCCCTGTTTTATGAGACTGAGGGTGACTTAACATGTTTTGTCTGAATGAGTGAGCACTTGTGTTTCAGCTGAAGTTTCTCCGTGTAAATTAACATGACATTTGTCTCGTTTTAAAGTCATTACCGTGGTTTTATTGTGAGTAATAGGCCAGTCAGTCTTCTTGTTCAACAAGCTGAGGCATTTCAAAGGGTGATCATTTGTCCGTAATGCTAAATGCAGTTGTGTCATCATGAAAATGTAAAATGTTGCTTCTAGAAGGTAATTTTTCATTTGCAATCATAGTTCAGAGAATTACGTTTTACACAAAAGACTCATGTTTAGGATATACTTTATCTGTGTCCACATGCTGGACAGCTATCATTTCAATGGGGGGGGGGAGGAGGACCATTTTCTTTATGGACAGAAACGGGTTAAAGAGGAGCTTCACCGAGAAACCATTTTTAACTTGTGTTTGAAAACGATTGGTCAGTCTGAGTTTTTCATGCAGGCTGAACAGGAAAATAGTCTCCTACACCCGTCTCCTGCATTAGCTTCTGATAGACAATAGAAACTCTAGGATCTTAGCCAATAAATCTGTACAGACAGTGGCAGAAGCTAAATGACTTAGTTCAATTCAATTCAATTTTATTTATATAGCGCCAAATCATGACAAGAGTCGTCTCAAGGCACTTCACATAATAAAAATTCCAATTCAGGTCAGTTCATTAAGCCAATCAGAAAAAAATGTTTCCTATATGAGGAACCCAGCAAATTGCATCAAGTCACTGACTAGTGTCAGTGACTTTACAGCAATCCTCATACTAAGCAAGCATAAAGCGACAGTGGAGAGGAAAAATCCCTTTTAACAGGAAGAAACCTCCAGAGGATCCTGGCTCAGTATAAGCAGCCATCCTCCACGACTCACTGGGGATCGAGACGACAGAGCAGACACACACACACACACACACACACACCATCTTGACTCATGACGAGGAAGTTCTGCATGTCGGTCTAGCCACGGTCCATTAGAACCTCAGCAGCCCCGGCCAGACTAGTACTACTGCGCTTCATCGGGTCAGTGGGTGGGTTGTTACTGCGACTGAGCCAAACTACGATGGCAACGGCTTGTTTGAAACTCCTTTGGGATCAACTTTGGACTATTTAGACTTGGGCTTTTCTCTGGGTCAAGAGCAAATAGAGGTACTTAAACCCTTTATCTAGAAAAAGGTTGTATTTGCATCTTCTTCCACAGTTTATGGTGGACCACCCCGTTGACTGGCAACCATAGCGGTGAGTACGTCATGTTGTACATTGTCCAATAGCATGTGGAGACCGTCTGAAAGACAACGGTAGATTCCACCCCACGACTGAGATCTGTCTATGGGTCGTGGTCAGACTATAAGTTCACACTATAGGACGGCCTGGCAGGCTACTGCAAACATTCGTGGACTCACCCATCTTGACTCGCCACGAGTAAGGCTGTTGTTGGTTTAGCGTCCGAGAAACAGCATGGCTAGTAGAAGCTAACCATTAGCATTAGCAACTCCACCACACAGCAAAACTCCTTCAAGATTGTGTTATTTGTGGAGATAAATCATTAATGTTGCAAAGCAAACAGTGGCAGAGTCGCGTTGCTGTTAACCAATCAGAGGCGAGATGTCCAAATACCAGGAAAAAAGACTCCAAATCCTGTTGTCTGAAGCTACTTTCTCCTCTGGCTGAATTATCCACTGCAAATGTATTGAAAATATGAGTGAAGGACCTCATTTCTAAGTGTCTGACTGCAGTAGGGAAAGCATTTATAGAGTAAAACCTTTTTCTTCTGATTCCTTTTAGTCCTTCTCAGTTGTCTCGTGTCTTCCGGTGCCTATTATTGTTCAGTCATGCATGTTACGTGATATTTATTTGAAGGAAAGTCTCTCTGATTCTCATCAGACCTGACATTTGCAGCAAAGTGTGACACTTTTAGACAGCCCCCAGTTTTCTAAAGGAAGCCTGCAAAAGTTCTACAAATAGTATATTTAAGTTAAAATTTTATTAAATTATTTCATCTTTATAGTCATATTCCAAACCGTTTAGGTACTTGTAGTTGTTTTTTTTTATTCCTGCTTTCCATAATGTTGACACTTTTAATTTCAGTCTGAGCATGTCAGTGAAATGTTGTCCTAAATCTAAACAATGTCCACATTTCATTTAGATTTCTTTCAGATGTTAGCTTCAGATGGACCAAGGTCAAAAATGAAAAATCTTTTTAAAGTTTTAAGAGCACAAAGGATCAGAGGCAGCTTCTGGCACCCATAAACACATTTATGGTTGTGTCTCCTGCTTTAATTGGACAAATATTCAAATTTGAATGATTTTTAACATTTTTCATCCTTCTAAATTAAATGTTAGTTTCAAATGCCTAAGCAGCTCAAAGCTGAATGTTTCCTAAAGCTTTTCCAAAAAAAATCCTGTTCTCGGCAGTAAAATGGGCCAAACACACTTTAGTATGGCTTTAAAATGGTGTTTTTATCCATCAGTTGTACTTTCTGTCATAACTGAAGCTGTTTAAGCTAAACAGAAGTCACTGAAATGTTATGTTAGCTTGATATTAGCACTTCTAACTGTGTCTGTATATAATATAATGAAAGCTGCTGACTCATTTCTGTTTGTAGCATCAGGAAAGCAATGAGAAGACTGCAAGAGAAGGTTTGATGACTTGTAGAAAGACCTGAGATTTGTATTTTTGACTTGTAACGAAGAAATGTTGAGGAAAAACCAAAATCTTGTACTGTATATTGTCATATTTTTGATCCTCACATTAAATAGAATCTGCTCTTAACTGGTTGGTTTGTAGCTTTTTGCCGGTGCAGACTAATTTAGTCTCAGGATGCAGTGGAGGCTGTTTTTATTTTTCCACCTGTGCCAGTCAGAGGATGACGAGCACTGGAGCAAATCCAGACAGGTGGCTTTAGTGTTGCGCCGGGCTCCAAAAGCACACAAACAGACACAACAGATGCACTCCAGCTACACTTCTGAGCCCCATGTCTCATAGTTAGCTTTTTACAATGTTTGCAAATTAGTCACATAAACTCACTTGCAGACAGGTGACAAATAAAGGAAGAAAAAAACCTTCTCTGGAGGTGTTGGGTCACCGTCTGCTGCTAGAGCGGCTCTAACCTGCTTTGGCACATATTCCAAAACTTTCTGGGACTAAAATGGATGGGTGGAACCATTATATCCCAAAGGTTGCTACTTCTGTTGGTCTCATGCTTTATTCATACACAAAAAAGAAATAAGGTGAATAAAAACAGACTACACCATGACAGAGAGCCTTTAAATGTAGGGGCCAGGAGGTCTTGGTGTGCGTGAGAAAATATACCCATCAAGATTATTTATTAAATCAATGAGCATATTTGTTTTAATACGGACATTTTTTTAAAGAGCATAAAGATTTTTCTTAATTTTTTGTTTTTTTTACTTATTGTGCTAAAACCCACTGTTTACAGCTCAAGAAGAAAAACCACCTATTGTCTCAAACTGAGAAGTCGTTGGTAGTTAATGCTAATTTTTCACGTGAACACTCAAGCCCAAGTTACCAGCAAATAATCACATCCCAAACTGATGTGGTGTGTGTTTATTTTCAGAAATGCCTCATATTTAATCTACAACAGCGTTAGAGACAGCCACTACAGCTTTATTTAAAAATAGGCTTTCCTGTAAATGTTTGTGTTTGTGTGCATAGCTGAGACTTGAGTCTGTGTTTCGACCTCATCAACACACTTGGCATAAAACAGACACATCCTGAAAGCTGCTCATAAAGCAGCAGTGTAAACATTCTGTTCTAACATACAACCAGATGTTTATGAGACCTCAGCTCCTCCGCTCCGTTCACTCTCTGCTTTCCCTGCCTTGCTTCAGGCTGTCACTGAAAAACTCACTTTTATTGTCATGGTTAGCTTTACTCAAACACCTACAGGTTTTTTGGGAGGTTTTTTCTCGCAAAAATGTCCTTAAATGGTCATCTTGAACATCTCGTCACACCAGTCATGTGTATTTAGTTTCATTTATGCTTTGAGAGTTTTAATCCAGACCGTTTCCAGCTGGAAATGACTCTTCCTCCCTCTTTTCCATAACTCCTGAATATACTTAATATGCTGACAAATGGAACAAAGAATGCCAAAACAATTTGAGTCGTTTCAACCCCGGAGAAAAATGCACACTCAAGCAGCAGCCAACAATGATCTCTGTGGTAATAAACTAATTCTGAGAGGGCTTCTACAAGTTCACAGAAAGTTTTATTGTCTGACTTCCTGCAGCACTTTCTGAGCTCTGACACCAGTTTTGGCTTTAGAGCTTTTGCTCAGCGGCACGCACAGTTACAACCCAATAGTTCATCTGCGTGTTGCACTTACGTTTGTGTTAATATCAATTCAACACATGTTGTTTATAACTGATTGTCAGTAGGTAGCTAAAACAAATCAAGACTTTAAAGGTGTGGGACACTGAAACCCCATTTTTTAATGATTATGTTTATTATAACCAGTCAACTGTGAGTTTTTCATGCAGTACATGAAGATAGTCTCCTACACCGATCTCCTGCATTAGCTTCTTACAGAAAATAGGTGGTGAAACTCTAGGATCTGAAACGCCTGACAGATCTACATCACACTGTCACTTAACAATCATGGACTCACCCATCTTGACTCATGACGAGGAAGGTCGTTGTTGGTTTAGCGTCTAGGAAACAGCAGAGAATGTCTCGAATGGTAGAAGCTAACCATTAGCATTAGCAACTTCCCCACATGGCAGAACTCCTCCAGGCTTGTGTTCTTTGTAGAGATAAAACATTCTTGATTTATATTTCACCCAAGTCCCCACCCTGGCCTCTACAGCAAAGCCAGTCATTATACAAGCCTAGAGCAGTGGTCCGCAAATGGCGGCCCACGGGTCACTTCCGGCCCGCAAGCCCTCTCTTTGTGGCCCCCAAACCCCGCGCGCACCCCCACCTATGACGGCCGACCGGGAGGTTTAGGATAGAGCTGAGGAAAATAATCAAATGATCAATGCATGAGGTGCGGGCATAAACGATTCTGCATCATAGAAGAGTAATCAGTTATAGTGGAATGTAGTTTAGTTATTTTAACGGCGGCACCAGCGTAGCATCCAAATCTGTCAGAGTGGTGTTCTCCACATTTACCCGGTAGGAAACTTTGGTCTGCCTTTATGTGGTACTGCAGGGCTGAGCGCTGGAGCTGTAACCTGAGACCGAACCTGAACCGAATCAGCCCGATCGGTTCTGTTGGATTTGGGCCGTAAATTATGTTAATTGAGCGGGTTGTCGCGCGGCGCGCTCCGCTCGCTCGATCAGCGACTGAGACAGAGAGAGCGGAAGATTGTCTGCTCACACAAGAGAGGATCGGAGGATGCTCCTCCAAACATGCATTATTATTTTCATAATTTCATTTTTGTTTCTCATGGAAGCGCTCAGTCAGACCGAGTGCTGTGATGTCGGGAGGCCCGGTCTAGGGGAGGGAGCGGGGTCAATGGCGGCGGCTGCAGCGTAACCTGTCTCTTATTTAGGGACACGAAGTTAAAAGTAGAGAGAAATAGAAGTTAGATAGATGACCACTTTATTCTTTTGTTTCATGATGATAAACTGATGTTAAATTCAGCTTAAAGAGAAACTGGGAGGAAGCTTTG